ATTAATCATCTAAATGGGTTAATAATTACTTTGTTTTTTAAACTAAAGATGTATTACACGGTAAGAATTCATTTAATATACATGCAGCCCATTCTCGTTTGTTTAATTTTAAATTTAAATAAACAAAGCCTAAATGTTGTTATGTTCGGTTCCTCACACCAGATGACAACCGAACAGAACAAAATTGTGAGCAAAAGAAAAAGCAGAGAAATCAGCTGTTTTCAAACTTGTTTACAAAATACCACTAAAACTAAAGCCCTGTTCACACAGGGCGAGTTTACAAGCTACACGCCGGCTTTTTTAGACGCAGCTAGTAAAGTAGCTCAGTGTGAACGACATACTCGTTCAAAAGCTGCTTGTAAAAAAGCTCTGGAAAAAGTTGACGCTGCCGCTACTTTTGTGTACTGCTTGTGTGCATGTTATTCAAAGATGTCGGAGGATTTGGTTCAAGCTAGCTACTGAGCGAGTGGAAAAAGCATCGTGTGAACGACTACAAGCGCACTCGCCGGCGTCTTTCTACACGTCTGCAGGTTAGCGAGTGGACAAGCTCCGTGTGAACAAACACAAGCACGCCTTGTAAACTCGCACCGTGTGAACGAGGCATTACTGTCAACTGTAGACAAAGTAAATTAATCTAACTAGGCTTATAAATTTGTGTTACAACTCTTAAGTTCAGACATTATTTATAAGATCATAACAGAATGGGGGCCCACAGAAAATTTCTCCTGTGTTACAAACCAGTACTGTAACAGTGAAAACATGATTTTTGGCTGTCTAAAAGCCGTAATCACTCAAAAAACCATATTCAATTATAAATTTAGTTTTTTTTACTAGGGGTCGTGGCCCCCAATGCCCCCCCCCCCATGCGGGCGCCGATGAATAACAGTAACAATTACTGTATTAAAGTAAATTCTTAACAGTAACAGTCTGACTTATGATCTACTATTTATTTAACACTTGTGAGCTTGCATGAATAACTTCAGTAAAGAAAAATTGAGATTCAATAACTTATTGTTTAGGCTAACTAATGCATTTAGCAGGCATGAGTTGTAGTAAATTTGCTATGTTAGAATTTAATATTGATACATTACTCATATCAATCCAATAATATGAAATATGTCCTCATCACATGTTGGTATTGGTATTGGGCCATCTTGATCTTACACACATGGTTTACATAAGTCTGTTCTGAGCTTTCAACCACATCAATTTCACATTTACTCACACAATACCATAAAACAAATAAATATTTATCAGTAACAATAACATAATAATAACAATAACAGAGACTTGGATCCTGAACAAAAAAGAAGAAAGAAAAATAACAGTTTTTGAAAATAAAGTATTGAGGAAAGTTTTTGTCCCAACGCTAGAAAATGGAGAGTGGAGGAAGAGGCACAACCAGGAAGTAAGAGAAATGTACAAAAATGCAGACATCATCGGAGAAATAAGAAGTAGGAGACTAAAACGGGCAGGACACATACTAAGAAGAGAAGAAGAGTCAAACCTGAAGAACATTCTGAGGGGAACACTAGAGGGACGAAGATCCAGGGGACGACCAAAGACTAAATGGTGGAACCAGGTGCAACAAGACATGAGGCGGCTGGGAATTGGAGAGGAGGATGCTGAAGAAAGAGACGGATGGAGGCGCTGTGTTGCTGAGGCCAAGTACCGACTGGGGTACAAATGGCCAGGGCAGTAAGTAAGTAAGTAACAATAACATAAAATTAACACACATGAGTTTAATAGTAGCTCGGAACTATGGCGAAGATGGCCTAAGGCATCATCAAACACTAACACAAGACTGTATTTTCCTCACGGCGCCTCAAGGAATATTTCTTTTGGTTTTGATTGTAAAATAAATTTCATTCATAAAATGTCCTAGAGGATTATATTATTAAGCCGAGCTTTTATTTTCTTGATCTCCAAAGATTGCATGTAAAAAGTTTTGACGCTATCACAAGAAACAAAAGTTATGTCTCCATGAACGTGTAAGATGTATATAATTTTGTCGAACAATGATTTCTTAGTGATTGTGGGAGAAGAATAATATGACTCTGCGAATGTGGGAGATGTTAATGATTTTGCTGCTATTGTGGGAGACAATAATGATGTCTCCGAGATCGCAGAAGATTTTTACGATTCGAAATGATCGCAGGAGAGGTTGAAGATGACAGCGGATGATGCTCACGATTTCGCTTTGATCGCAGAAGACGATGATGATGTCTCCGCAATCATATAAGGTTTCTTTATTTCGCTGTGAATGTAAGAGATGTTCACAACAATCAATGACTGAACACCATGACAAATCAGTTATGTTCACCATAATGACAGGGACATTCACAATTTAGTCGTTCAATCACAACTGTGATAAAAACAATCGGTTTGAACAAATTTTGCAATTGCAGTTTAAACAGGTTGTAGTTTAACAATTAAATTTTTTTTATGTATACTTTCCAAAGCAACTTGATTTTGAGCCAACCTGAAGTAAAACATTCTGGCCCGCAGACCCAAATTTATTTCTATTTTTCATTATTTATTAGCTAGTCTATTCACCGATCGGATCATAAGGGTCAAGTTTATTGAGTTGAAACAATACCTCATGTATTTCTAAACCCCCTACCAACACCGAAATTGTGTAGTATTTCTAAGCCACCGAAGAATCAGAAATAGAGGGGCCTCTCTGGAATGATCCACCAGGGGCAGCATGGATTGTAAATCCCCCCCAAACACGTCCAATTTTGAATCCTTTCCTAATAATGGGTATTATATTCTACTGGCACTCTCCAACCTAAAGGTGAGTGAGCGTAGCGAACGAACTTCAACCAGGACGTGATTGAGCCATGCGAACGAGATCATCTTGAAAATTAAGAAGTTAAACGGGGCAAAGCCCGCGGGTTACAGCTAGTTTTAATATAAACCAAACGGTTACCTAATAAAGGAAAGATATGTTTTTGATACAGCCAAATATTAATGTATTATTCCAGCTTAATCAACGTTTCAGCCCAAAGAATTTACCAACATTTATTGTGAAATTCACAATACAAAATCCTTGTCCATGAATGAGCAATGTTTACATATCAGTCTTAAAATTGCTAAGACATATTTGAATGAATTAATTTTACAGGGTCTGACTTAGGGGAGGTACGAATGAGGTATTTAGTTCAAAATTTCTCCGTGAACAGCGCTGTAGTAGAGAGCACTTTGGCAATGAAGGTTTACTAATCGCAAAAATAGCTCTGTTCATAAAATAAAATTATAAATGCATCAAATTCAATTTTATTATTTTTTAATTATAAAATTAAACTATCATAACCTAACCGAACTAACCAAACTTGCTGATAAAGAAATAATATAACAAAAGTTTAGTAATCGGAAAAATAATTCTGTTTACTAAATAAAACTAGAAATTGTTCAATTAAAATTTTATAATGACTTAATAATAAAATTAAACTGTAATAACCGAACCAAACCAACCGAACTTGCTGATAATAAAAAAATCTTGGACAAAAAGATAATGCAACCAAAAGGATTCGAACCCGGGACCTTCAGCATATCAGCCCGGTACGCTAACCATTAGACCACCGAGGCCGATGGGTACATTCAGTTTTGTTACGGTAATGGCGTTCCCTCAGCTAATAAGAAGCCCACAGCTGTCATCGTAGCCTCTTCTATACCTCCCCTGAGTAAATACCAATTTTACAAGTCAAATAATAGTGTATTTTGTTTGTTACAAAAGAAAATATTTATCCTAAAAATTCACTAAAGCACAATAACTTTACTTTTCCCATCAATATTGTTTCTTGAAAACAGATGCTTACTGAATAACGTTATAATTATAACTCTTTTTATATTGTGTTAGGTATACTTATGTATAAAAAGAGAAAGTAACAACCAATATTTAATAGCAGAATTTTTTTTGTATTACGGATAGTATCTAATATTGTAATATTTTGCATACCCTGTTGATTGATTTTTGATTTAGGATTGAATTTTTTTTATTTTTGCTCAATATAAGGGATAAATTAAAAAGGATTATGTTAAAGTTCCTGGGCAAGACATGGAAGACTAGGATTCATAATAGTTAACTAACAGGAAACAATAAACCTAAGATATACAACTTACATATGTATATAAATGTCCCTAAAATACACTAAATAAATATTAAAATAACATATTAGGATATTTTATGTTATGATTAAGAAGTTTTTTAGTAAATGCAAAAATCACAGTATTTAAATGAAATCATGTTGTTCACATTTCAAGGATGGTTTAAATTAATACCTTTTAAACCAAGCTGCCTGAAAATCATAAACATCTTCAAAACTATACAACTATTACTTTTTTAGATGCCTAAAGATGAAAAGTTTGTTAGGCTAAGAATGTTTCACCCCACTATGATGGTTAGGTATTTCCAGATGTCAACAAACATGGTGTTGACTATAGTTCGGCCGCTTAGAAAACGACCTGCGCGCTAATGCTAACCAATGCTAGAGGAGGTCGCTTTTTAAGTAGCCGAACTATACCTACGTTATTTGTACATATTGTCGTTGTCGCTAAATAATTATTTCAGAAAACCTTAAAAATTGGTGTGATTAGTATTTTATTACTTAGTAAACTATTTTTGTCTGAGATTGCTTTTTTACAAGTTTATAGCATTCTTACAGAATGTAGCATTCTTGTTTTTCATGTGTTAAAAAATGGCTTTTGCGTCTTGGCTGAAACATTTCAGCTGGGACTCCTAATTGAAACACATTTCCAGGTGTGTCAATTCTTTCAGATCTTTGGGCAAAATAAGCTATTATCGATCGTAGTTAAATTTTCGTGAAGCATTAGACTGATTACGACGTATTCTGTATCTGTTTACATACTTTGCAATACAATATATTGTTTAGTTTCACCCACCTTAGTAACTAGTTAATCTCACAGTTAGGACTACATAGGCACTACATGAGTAGCTAAAATAAATATTTTTTGGGAATGCTTCCCTCACTGGTTTTTGTTGTCTTTACAACATTGACTAGGACGTTAGTCTACCTTATAACATTAATATGTACATGAGCAGAGGTAGGGCAAGGTTATCAATTTGGTCTGTTGTAGCTTCAACCCAAGAGACAGCGGAAATCGCAACTATCGGCTGTAACAGGTTGTTTCTTGGAATATAACCTGAAATAGAAAAAAACAGGTTTAAATAAATTGCCAACCAAAGAAATCAATAATTGTTGGTTGATTTTTAATGATAGTCACTGAGGGTGACAATTTTTAATGAGGAAACAATGTTGTTTTACTTTGAACCTAAAATAGGATGTAACAAGTTACTCTACTCTTAACCTTTTTTATATCCATCCTCCCTTCATAAATGTTCTACAAGAACCACCCGTTTTATGTAGAGCTAGAGTGTTTTTGTCTTTTTAGTTTTTATGCACATGTTTTATGAAAAGAATTCAGCTTTATCCCAACAATGAAAACAATTCAAAATTGTATTTCAACTCTCAACTTCAATCATTGAGGTTCAAACACAAATTTTAATTTTTTTAAAGAATGTAAGCATTGATAAAACATACTCCCTTAGTAGATTTGACATCCTTATGGAACAGCTGAAGTCAATTTTATTGTGCACGTCCCACTGTAGAGGTTGTGTTTTGTATACAATTTGTTTCTTGTTATTTCAGTCATTTAGAACCTCGTTTGACCAAATAAAACAATCTAATCATAAACAATAACTTGTCTCCTAGTTATATAACCAAACAGTAAAACAAAAATCATGAAAATAACCCTAAAATAATAGAAACAAAATACTTGTGTTGCTTAGTCTATGACGTAAGTACAAAAAATTGGAAAAAAAACTGTCGAGTTAACTTGAGTTTTCACAAATACTCACCAAAATGTATCATGGCTATGACGAAGAACAACTGGGAGATAAAACAAGCTGCAGACCCCTCTTTAGTCCTTTGAGAATCTGGTAAAAAGAAAACATTTTTATTTGTAATTTAAGGACTACATTCCCTAAATTTTGAATTTCATCCAAGCTATCAAAGAAAAAATCATTTAAAGGCCTTTTCACACCGCCCAGCAACATACCAAACATCCACTTGTTCATTCGGAGACAGAACAACTGACTTAGTCTATTTGTTTTACCTGTTTAAATATGCCTTTTCCGCAAGTTCTTAGGTGTTCTGTTCCATGGATAAACTAATTAGTTGATATTTTTATAGTAATGAAATGACAACTTAGTATTATTATACTCGTTAACAAAAGAAGTAAATGGATTCATCACATTAGTAAAAAACGGAAGAGTTTTGGTGAGTACATTAATCGATGCATGATGACTGGGACGGTGGCGTCGTCCTGTAATCCAGCTACTAGGAGGTCACGAATTGTGGATATTTATAGAGATGCACTGTGGATGCAATACTCCCTGGTGTGGATTAACTTCTGCACTAGTGAGTACTATGACTATCCGCAGTACTATCCTGATAATTAGACCAATTTGTTAATACCAAGGCAAGAATGTGGTTCGGATTCCCCTATAAACTGTAGGTCCCTTAGTTGCCATTAGCTGTTTGGCCTATTAATTAACAGCTGTGTCTAAGGAATATATGGGCCTTAGTCACTAACAAGACTACAAGATTGTGCCACTCATCCTTCACTCATATTTGGGTTAAAATACACACATAGTGGCGTCCCCATGTTAAATAATTGATATAATTGATCTGAAGCTGGATGAAGATATTTTACTTATTTATAGAACTTATTTGACTCCATATCAGTTTGAAGAAGCATTGTTAATAATCAATGTAGATATAAGAAACTTGACACTTTAAATACAGTTTCTACAATAGAGAGTACCAAATATAGCGAAGCACGAAGTGTTCACTGCCCATGTGCTAGGCTATGGATGGGCATTGTGATGGGCTGGACATTTGAGAAAAATCACTCTCCGAGGGATCCACACAAGACCATCGGGGACGTCCAGGACATGCAAGACATCCTGGTGCGGTGTGAACGGTCTCATTTGATAGCATTGGCAGCAATTTATTTAGACAAAAACATGCCAAATATCCAGGACACTGGTGTGAAAAGACCTTAAGTAGATTGAACTTATATAACAGAACTCATATTTTGATTATAAGAACAGTCCAAAATACCTACTTTATTGAACAATCCAGAGTTACTAAACTAAAGTAGTCTCTTAAGTAAGTTGTTACATCTATATTTCAAAGACTTATATCAATGTTTGGACTCCAGATTCAAAAGACTAAGATTACATAGTGTAAACAATTTTCTTTATGACTAGACTAAGAGCTTCTTTATGATGTTAGCTCCTGACACAAAGTTTATACTTTTTTAAATGTTGATAGTTTCACATTTTGTTTTAATTTTTTACTGATTAGTGAAATGTGATAGTAGTGGTTTCAAACAGTTTTGAAAATTACTTACTAATACAACTATAGTCCGTCCGTTTGGCTATGATACCCAGCGGATTAGGAACCTTCTCAGAACTTGACTCACCCTTCAGACGCCAGGCTGTCCGTTGATAAAAAGTTTACCTACCTACTGTCACAGTCCCACAGATATGTAACTTTTATTATTTTAAGTTAAAATAAATTGTTATTTGTATATTTGAGTTCTACATTAAATTCCAAAAATAATGAGTCCAAACACGACGTGGATACTTAATATCTACGATCTGAAAGTTTTGACAAAGCTGGTGACAATACAGAGTAATTGTAATACTACCAGATCGTAGATATTAAGTATCCACATCGTGTTTGGGCTCATTATTTTTGGAATTTCACGTAGAACTCAAATTTATAAAGCACAATTTATTTTAACTTAAAACAAAAAAAGTTACAGATCTGTGGGACTGAGCCAGTGGGTGAGTCATCGTTTGTCTCCGGCCAACCCGACGAGCGGGTCGAGAGGGTGAGTTGAGTTCCGAGAAGGTTCCTAATCCTCTGGGTATCATAGCCAAACGGACGGACTATAATTCAAGTCTTCAATGCAATTAATTACTCAAAAAGAATGCTTCTTAGAAAAAGATTTATAGAAATTGAAGCATTCTAATCTTTAAGAGGCGAATATGTTTTGTGTAAATACAAGTAATATAATATGTAGAACAACAACATTTATTTTTTAATAGTGGTGAGCCTGTTTAATGGATTTGGGTCTTGTAGTAATTTTAACCATTACTTTATTCAGAACAGCAGTTTGTATTTTTCATGATAAGCAGACTTACACACTATATTTTTACATCTGTTCCATACCTGGCCATTTGTGACGACCGAACAACGAGCCGCACACAGAGGCTGCCGTGTCACCCACGCCTACTGACAGTAGCCCCGCCAGCAGAGGGGGGAGGGAGTCTGGGGATGATGCAGGAGCTGGGTGTAGCCACAGCGGGGCAGACACACCCGCCATCAGACACAGTGGAGTTAGAGCCACGGGACCTGCGTCCTTTTCATCTACGAATGTGAGGAACACAGAGTCCAACACCTCAGCTACTGGCGCTACCTTGGCCACCCTCACTATCTGTGCAGTGAAATAATGTTGATATGAATGAATGGCATAATAAAACATGTATATTACATTGTGATGGGTCGGATTACTCCATATTTTGCACAATTTGTAACACTCCTTTCACACTATACGATTTTGCTCATACGATTATTAATCATTGACAGTTGGAGCTTATGGCCCCTTTCACATTATACGATTATCAATTGTGTAAGATTTTCACCCACACAGCGACCGTAGGGCACCACTGCAGTGACTCTCGTACGAGTAATAATCGTGACTACAACTAGTAGACCATGTGACCATATGGCTCCTTTCACACTACACGATTGTTTAGTCGTCCGGGAGCACTCCCCGAGTGCAGTTCGTTGCAAATAACTTTAGATATTTTGTTTTAACAGTTTAATTATTTAGTAATCGAGTTGAACTACCAGTGCATACTGTATTATATTTTTTAGTTTTTGTTATTAATCACAGCCAGCATTTCAATTGGTTGTATACAATTTCTCAACGTCCCGTAATGTCTTCGTAGGTCACTTTTCAATTTTTTGTGAAGTTCATAAAACGACATCCGAAAATAGTTTAAAAACTTATGTTTTTCATTTCTCAGGTCTGAAACATTTCCATTTTCTAAAATTTTAAATTAATTAGATGCACCCAGTGGAGAGGGACACGTTGCTCTCTTTTTCTCTGCCAGTAAATTATCAAAGCAGCAATAATTTGGTCGCGATGCATACCACTCAACACTTTCCATCATACAACTATCTTAAAATTTGTGTGGTACATACAACATTTTGGAAGAGTTCGGTGGCTAATTGAATTACTGAGTGCAGTCAAAGTACTTACAAAAAGTAAAAGTTACAGCTTCAAATATTTTTAAAACACAACTAATTGATTATCATTGGAAATTCAGGTAAAATACACAATAAATGCTTAGTGTTCCTGAAATCAATACAAAAAATGCCATTTTTAGTTTTTTTTTCTTTTTGAGATTAACATTTTTACAATACTCCTAAAAATTAACAGACAACACTAAGTAAAAGTAAACAACTCTAAAATGTTTTACGTATACTGAAAATCACTTGTAAGAAAACAACCAAAATACATTATTGGAGAGTAACGATACTGACCTCAAGACCAACAAAAATGGCAAATATTATTCCGCTTGCCAGGTAGAGCAGGCAAGGGTTCAACAAGAGTCCTGGCAGATAGACAGCCACAGCTAGTAAGTGGAAGTACTTTCTGACGATGGTGGACGCCTTGCGGCCCCCCTTCACCTGTGTCATGGCTGCCACTACGGCCACAACGCTTGCCAACACCCACGAGGCAACCAGCTTTAGCTGTCAATCACCAAATAGAAAAAATGGCCAAATGTTGTAAAAGTTTGTCAAGAGATACAATAAAATAACAGGAGAATTTTACTGTTTATTCGTTTACGCCTCAAAGACCAATATCCGTCATCATGAGTAACATGGAAAACTTTCACTTTTACTCGTATGGCACAGATGTACTTATTGAGCAGTACAAGTAGTGGCGTGGAGGGGGGAGAGGGCAAAAAGCAAATGGTTTGTTTTATGGTGTTCTCCCCAGTTAGTAGACATCACCGTGTTTTAAATTCCATCTTGGTCAGGTCAAGTGGTGTGCAACTAACTCTTGAGTGATTTGCCTGCCGATGGCAGAGAGTAGTGGGAGAAGCCCGCCAAAAATCAACTGTGTATCTCTTGGGTTTAAGTTGACAGGATCAATGATTGGTAATGAAGTAGGCCTAACCTTTATAATAACTAATGATTTGAGGGTTTATTTATGTTTTATTGTAATAATTTTTTTAGAAGGGTGATCTCCGATAATGACAATTTTCTGTGTAATAAAATGCTATTGATAAAAATGTAGATCTTTGTCCTGGAAGATGTGGGTTAAAATTTTGGCAGTCACTATATATTGTATTTAGCTGTGAATACATAAGTCTCTAAAACTAGGCACAGAAATACGCTATGAAATGAAATGAAATATGCTTTATTGTCTTTTGAATTTTAACAAATTATTGACAACGTCATGATACAGCTAAACAAACTTATAGCACAGTCAGTTAATAATTAATTAAATACTTATAGCTAACTAAAAAAAGGAGACATATAGGCCTACAATACTTGTTAACAAAACAAAAAACAAATTACAACTGAAGAATCTTATTGTTAAAAAAAACTTCCAAACTATAAAATGGGTTATTGGTCAGCCAACAATAAAATTTATTCTTGAAATCCTTTATACCGGTAGTATATAATTTAATTATGGATTCAAGAAAGTTATACACTTTAAGTGACAAAACTATGTGACTATTTAGAGTTTTACTTAAACGATGGAATTCTATTGAGGTATGGTTCTTATTTCTGGTATTATGATTATGAGTATTGTGTCTAAATTTTAAAAGATGTTGATTTTCCAAGATATAAACTATTAAGTCATAAATATACACGTTAATAATAGTAGGAATTTGAAGATTTTTAAAAAGTGGTTTGCTGTGGTCTCTCGAGCCTTTATTAGAGATAACTCTAACCGCTTTCTTTTGCCAAACAAGAATTTCCTCTACCCTAGCACAATTGCCCCAAAAAAATCAGCCCATACCTGAAAATGGATTGAAAATATGAAAAATATGCTGTTCGGACATAATTTAGTGGAATGCATTTTTTCAGACGGCCTAGTAAAAATATTACACGAGGAAGTCTGGTATTTAAATAGTCTATATGTGAATCCCATGTTAGCTGACTATCTACGTATATTCCCAAGAACTTTGCTGAAAAAACTGTATTAACCTTATCACTGTTCTCAAACAACTCTCTTGAATTATTATTTAAGGAAAATATTAATTTTTGTGATTTTTCTTTGTTAAGCAAAAGTCCATTACCATGAAACCAATTTCGTGCATTATTTAATGTTTCATCAGCCAATTTTTCAAGTTCTTTATAGTTTTTACTTGTACATAAAAAAGTAGAATCGTCTGCGTACAGAATGGTTTTACAATCAACAGAAGAGGGTAGATCATTTATATAGATTAAGAAAAGAAGGGGGCCAAGGACTGAACCCTGTGGTACTCCCCATTCAACTGACACTTCATCTGACCATCTTCCTTTTATACAAACTGCTTGTTTCCGATTTTGCAAGTAGCTTCTTAAAAAAGATAATGGAGGGCCATCAAATCCATAGTACTGTAATTTAGAGATGAGAATATAGCTGTCAACAGAGTCGAATGCTTTACTGAGGTCACAGAAGGTGGCCTGCGCATAAGTTTTATTTTCAAAAGAGAGATGAACTTGCCTGACTAGATCGTCCAATGCATTGAGAGTAGATTTTCCTTTTCTAAAACCGTATTGATTGTTGTTAAAGATGTTGTGTATTTCAAAATAATTTCTGATTTGATCGTAAATAATTATTTCCATTAGTTTTCCCAATACAGGTATAATTGAAAGTGGTCTATAGCTCTGAGGTTGGTCCTTAGGGCCTTTTTTGTAAATGGGACAGACTCGAGAGACTTTGAGTAAATCAGGAAAAACCCCTTGTGATAAAAGATTATTTATGCATATTGCCAATGGATTAGCCAAAGAGTCAACAATTACTTTTAATAGGTTGTTTGACATATTGTACACATCCACACTAGCTGATCTTTTCATCCTTTTAGTGGCACTAAGAATATCACTAGGTGTGATGGCTGACCAACAAAATTTATTACAACTATCAATTTCATATTTTTTTTAAAATTCATTATAAGAAGTGATTATACCTGGAGTCTTAATACTTTGTTTGATCTTGTCTACACTGTCAAGAAAAAAACGATTGAAAGTATTTGGCTCAATTTGCAAATCAGCTGTTTTTTTAATTTCACAGTTATTTTTTATTACCTCCCATGCGGCTTTACATCTGCTATTACTTTCTTCTATGTACTTAACATTGTTTTCTAGCTTTGCTTCATTTAAACAGTTTTTATATTGACATTTCAGTTTTAAATATTTACACCTTAGGCCAGTATTGTTCACATTTCCAGTATCTTTGAGCAAACCATACAAACACAATAGCCTTTCTTTCATTTGACCCAACTCTTTAGTATACCACCCCTTGTTTAGTTTGTTCAAATACTTAGGTTTGAATACGTTACATTTACTTGGGACCTTAAAATAATTAATATTGTTGATTAGTATATTAAATAAACATTGGAACTGTATATTACCACTACTCGAATACTTGGACATAAGAGATAACCAATCATAAGTAGACAATTTCAGAGACAGATGTACATGGCTTTTAATAGGTAGATAAAACTGAATGGGGTCTTTTGAGACTGAAGGAGATATATTATCTGTAACTAATGGCTCATCGTTCTTCTGCATATTAACAATAATTCCATCATGGTCTGAAAATGGAAATTTGAACAAACTTAAAAAAGAGAGCTTAGCAGATTTTTGGTATACAAACACATTATCTAGACAGTTTATGCCTCTAGTTGGTGAATTATTTAAATGATAAAAGTTGTACTGTTTAAATAGATTTAACAAGTTTTTTACATTTCTTTTGCTTGTAGTAACATCAAAATTGTGGTTGAAATCACCACCGATAACAATATTGTAGTTGTTCCACTGAGTAATAAAAGGTAAAAAAACATCCAAAATCCTTAAAAACTCCAAAGGTCTACCATTAGGCGAATGATACAAAGAAACAAATATAGTTTTTAAAGAATCTATAAATACGGATGAAACCTCAAAATCCAATTCCTGACAGAATTGGGTTACATCATCTTTGAGATACAGTTTACGGTCTTATATGTCTTAGTATCCTTTACAACACATAAGTTAAAGTTTCACTTATAAAGTAACATAGGATAAGTTTATTAGGCAAGGAGAACAGTCTCTGTATTCAAAAAATCTTCTTTCACACCTAGTCTTTAGGATATTTTTACGGATAAAATATACTTACAGTGAGAATATCTTCTGTCGCCAAGTAGAAAATCCACAAAACAGAACTGAAGTTCAACAAGACATGCAGCAAGACGACAATGATCACCAGAACTGCAGCAAGACAAGAGTAGAACTCCATGGGCTTCCTGAGCCGAGGGAAGTTGTAGACACAACCACAGAAGATCATCAGCCCCGTCATACCTACCTGGACACTCAACTGACTGATCATACAATTCCAGAAAATTATGATGTGTCCCGATTGAAAAATGCAAAATGCTCATTTAATGATATTTAGAGAAATTTGTTTAACTTTGTGGCCAATGGGTCAAATAAGATCAAGTACGAGATGGCGTCATCAAAATTGTCAAGATTAAAACTACCAAGGAAACATTACGTCCCCCTCTTACTAAGGTCGCAATTCTGGGGGTGAGGGGAAGAAATGTATATAAATGTTTAGTTCTATTAATAAAATCAGTTGCAATGACATTCAGTTTAAAAATGGTCAGGAGTTTTTGCATTTATATGAAACTTTTTTTATAATTTTACTGGTTATACTTGGACTTCAGAGACTGCACTTTAGATTTAAAGCAAATAGATATTTTGGGGCCATACGAAGCAGAAGTCCAGAGGGGACTTAAAGCTAACTGTTTAAAGCTTTTTGAAAGATAATGACATATAATAACTTACAGCTAAAGAAAAAAATACCAACCTGCAATATCTTTGTTGATATATCGATGCATGTAACTGGTGTGAATGTGAAGAGCATTGCAACAACAGAAGCAATGAAAAGGATTGCAGCTTCCACGACCACAGCTGCTTCTCCAAATGTAAATGTTTGCGGACACAGTTGCAGAGAAAGAACAAGTAGTTTATTGAATCCGAAACTACTGAATATCCCAAGGACCACTGTGAAAACTATACCTAAACAAACAAAGCATGTTTCTTAACAATGTATACAAAACTGAAATTTAAAGACAAGCTAACCTATCAACCTACTTCACCTAGACTAAAAATCAAGTAAAACTTATAAACTATTTTTTTCACTATTTTTAGTGATGAATTGAAATGTTGTTGTACAAATATTTTTTTAAGTAATTTAAATTCCAGTCCAGAAGTCATATTTTTTGTAATAAATCAAACTTGACAAAAAAAACAATTATGTAGGTCTCCGGTAAACCTGTAAAAATAACTTAAAAACGTAAACCTGGTGTAAAACTTAAAATAATCATTGAAATATGTTAAATGAATGAAACTTACTATGCTCAGTGAAGTAATGTAGCAATAGTGTGGTAGTGATGGAGTTGATTACACAACAAATAGTACGGAACTGAGTAGAATGATGAACTTGAAAAATTATCGATAAGGAGTTGAGTAGCAAGCCAACACTCAGACATGTTGCTGATCGGTAGAAATAACCACAGTCTGGGTAATTCCAAATTCCAAGAATTACTGACGTTGGCAAGACAAAACAAAGCCACAATCCAGGACTAGCTCCTTTTCTGAAAGAGAAGATTAAATAATTAATTTAACTCATAAAATGTAAGCCTACATTACATAAGCTATGTAGCGTAAGCCTCTGTTAGCTGGCTTCACTTATGTTATATTTTTAAGGATCTACTAACACTAAAGACTTGATATTTTATAACTTATCATCTTCATCTCATAACATCACTTAATAGTAGTTAGTTGTTATATGTGAGCTATTCAGAAAGTAAGGAATGTTTACATATGACGCTAATAGGCGCATGCTGTATGTTTGTGTGAATGGCTCCATTTGATTAACTAATGTGGTCCGCTACATTGCGCTTGGGAACTAGTGACTACCTAGTTGCTAGATTTGTCGCTTGTGTAAAACGAGCCCACAAATATGCTATTGTAATTCATTCATCAGATATAGGAAAGTGTCCCTGTTATTTCAATCACATTGGACTTGCACTAAATTAACTTAAAATTATAAGGCAATAAAATGTGTGATAACAAAATAGTTTTAGTTAAAAATATGAGTTTAATAGGCTAAATTATTCTTTACAAACATATTATGCCTATCTTACCTTGTTTTTATCTTGTTGTCAAGTAAATAGTTTTCAATATTACCGTTTAGTTCAGTTAATAAGCTTGGTATTGAGTTACTTTTCTTCATTTTTATAAGGACAAATATACCAACGATGTATTCTTTTAGTGCTTAAAACTCTTAGTTTAAAAGGAAGCATAGGCCCAAATAAAAAGTGTTAGGTAAACAAATCAATTTTGGATTATTCTGAATACATCTGACAACCAATAACTAACTAGCGTGTAGCAATGTATTAAATCAAAAACAAATTACAATCGTAACTGGAAATTAAAGTTTAGATTGTTAAATGTTGATAAGAAAATTGTCCTGTCAGCGCCAACTAGGCTAAACGAACCGAAACAACACCAAAACGAAAGACGAAAGTGTACAAACAAACTAAGTAAGGTTAAGTTATGTGTTAACTCTATTTTCTACTTTCTTGTCTTGTTGACTGACAGAGATAGATGACAGCCACCAATAACGACAGTCGTCAGTAAAAACTTCCAAAGGCTTCTAAAAAGAATCTAGTGATAGAACCATTGATTATTTTTGCATTAGTACTATAAATTAGTAATAAATGCCATATATTCAATGTACTTACAATTTACAAGAGTGTAACTCATAGTGTAACCGATAAGGGGCGTACAACTTTAAATAAGCCAAAGCCATATGTTTTATCTACGACACACTCAACTCGACTATACTTGCTATTTAAAGATTTTGAGCTACCCCCAACCCCCGTTACCCCTAAGGGCAAAGTTTTCAAAACTGACCATAATTATTGTAGCCCTTTATATCCAAACAAGTTGCCACAAACCGATTTCAAATATCTCAAATAGTTAAAAAGTTAAAGAGGGTGCAAGCATAGATACAACATACCATAGATAAAACATACATGAACATACTCCCTTAGTAGATTTCTCATCCTTATGGAACAGCTGAAGACAATTTTATTGTTAGTTCTGTACGGTTTATGTAGAGGTCGTGTTTTGTTTACAATTTGTTTCCCGTTATTACAGCCATTTAAAACCTCGTTTAGCCAAATAATACGATCTAATCATAAACAATAACTTGTCCCCTAGTTATATAACCAAACAGTAAAGCACAAATCTAGAAATTAACCCTAAAATAATAGAAACAAGTTTTCGTCGACACTAGCACCCAGTGTCACGTACATGAACTAGACACGAAAAACGTGCTTCAAAATTGACAATGGGATGAGAAGTCTACTTGTGTTGGTTAGTCTATGGTGCAAGTTAATTTTTTGCCACCCTCATGGTTATTTGGATTTAAAACGTTTTAGGGCGCCATTTTGTTATTAGTGAGCCGATTTTGGTTTTCTTTATGTCAATGTTTATGTTTCGTCAAGACCTGTAAAATGATACTAAACTCGACTATACTTGTAATTTGAAAATTTTGAGCTTCCCCCTACCCCCGCTACCCCTAAGGGCAAAATTTTCAAAATTGACCATAGTTATTGTAGCCCCTCATATCTAAGAAGGTTGCCACAAACCGATTTCAAATATCTCAAATGGTTGTAAAGTTAAGTGGGGGTGCAAGTTACTTTTCAGCCACCCTGTATATTCAATTTAAACAATGTTTTGGTTTTTAATTCCATATGTTTAGTTTTCAATCTTTGAATAAATTTATGTTCTTAAATTTATATTTAAATGAATAGTACGCGAATTAATGAGCTGGTGTCACCTGTCTGCCATGTTATCTTATGGGACGTCTGGCGCTAGATAACACTACTTGCAACGTTGCCAATTCTACCATAGGCCGCGGCCTGGAGTTAATGGTGGCCGTGTCACAGCTCGGAGCTATGCTATAGCCATAGCCCCGACCACAACTGAATATTCACCCATACCCATGTATTTATTGCAAAGACGTTGAAAGGAGTCTCCTTACATCAAGGCCCCACTAGAAAAAACAGGCCATGCTGCATGATCCATGACGTCACACTAGTGGATAGATTTCATTGATAAATTCATTGCCATCGCCATTCCCATATGTTTTAGGTAAATAAACAAGCTGGCTGTTTGTAACATTTTAATGGTAAGAGTTTAGTACAACTATCCACCACTGTGACGTAGTGTTGCGCTACATTCACTATTTGGCCTTCAGCTGTTGGGTTTGACATATTCATAAATTACTAGCTGAACCCGGCAGACGTTGTCTTGCCTTTGACTATTTATAATCCCGCGGGCTTTGCCCCGTTTAACTTCTAAATTTTCAAGATGATCTCGTTCGCATGGCTCAATCACGTCCTGGTTGAAGTTCGTTCGCTACGCTCACTCACCTTTAGGTTGGAGCTCGTTCGCTACGCTCACTCACCTTTAGGTTGGAGCTCGTTCGCTGCGCTCACTTGCCTTCAGGTTAGCTCGTTCGCTACGCTCACTTGCCTTCAGGTTAGCTCGTTCGCTACGCTAACTCGCCTCCAGGTTGAAGTTCGTTCGCTACGCTCACTCACCTTTTCGTTGCAAATTAGCTGTTGTCATAAATGTAAAAGAAATAATAGTGCTGCACCCTGTTGGTAATCCTTGTAACTTTAATGCTATTGAACATCATCGAACAGAACCAACTTGTTTAATTGAAACAGCTGTTAAGATTCATTAATTCCATTTCTCATAAGGTTAACATGGGAAACTCCAGAGCCACTGGGGCGGAGCCGATTGGACGGATCACGAAATTGATGGTGTATAAACCTATTCCATGACATTCTACACGACACGTATGTACCAAGTTTCGTGGCAATCGGTTCAGCGGTGTCTGAGTTTATCACTGCCAAACAAACAAACAAATATGTATACAAACATCCTCTTTTATACTTATAGACTAGCTGTAACCCGCGGGCTTTGCCCCGTTTAACTTCTTAATTTTCAAGATTATCTCGTTCGCATGGCTCAATCACGTCCTGGTTGAAGTTCGTTCGCTACGCTCACTCACCTTTAGGTTGGAGCTCGTTCGCTACGCTCACTCACCTTTTGGTTGCAAATTAGCTGTTGTCATAAATGTAAAAGAAATAATAGTGCTGCACCCTGTTAGTAATCCTTGTAACTTTAATGCTATTGAACATCATAGAACAGAACAAACTTGTTTAATTGAATCAGCTGTTAAGATTCATTAATTCCATTTCTCATAAGGTTAACATGGGAAACTCCAGAGCCACTGGGGCGGAGCCGATTGGACGGATCGCGAAATTGATGGTGTATAAACCTATTCCATGACATTCTACACGTATGTACAAAGTTTTGTGGCAATCGGTTCAGCGGTGTCTGAGTTTATCACTGCCAAACAGATATATATACAAACATCCTCTTTTATACTTATAGACTTAGACTATACCGTTCAAAAATCTGCCTCAAACTAAATTTGGACCTTAAGAGCCTATTGGCATTTAATCAAAGTGAAGCCCAAATGATTTATGTAAACTTTTTTGTTAATTTGACATCAACGCGTGTACTATTTTTTTATAGTTTTATCAGCAATTATTTGTTGTTGTCGTCATCTTTGTTATAGTAAATAAACAGCATACTTTCTCCCAGAAGTTTGTCAACAACATTTATCATGGGTAGGGTAAACGGTAGAAGTGATATTTTGGTGAGTAAATATCACAAAAGTGTCAATAACCTTTTAACCGTACTATGCTACAGAAATGGGAAATGGGGGTTGCACTATTTTGTTTAGAATTATAAGGACCATAACACATTTTAAATAAAACCGACTTTTTTCTTAAAATCCTTTTTTGTCATTTTGGCCTAATGGGGTTTTATGAGAAAATGACATAAGTTACAAAAACTTGTGAACAGTAATTTTTACGGAAATGAAATTTGTTCAATTTTGTTCAGAATATGAAGGGCTTTAACATACTAAATTTTATCAAAATCGTTCGGGCCAGTTTTGAGAAAATCTGATTTTTCCGTTATTTAAAGGGAAATCAGCATTACAAATTAAAATTTAAAAAATAACAAAAAACTCCTGGAGATACCAAAAATTAGAACCTATATACCAAATTTCATAAAAATCGGACTATAGGTGGTCTGTAGCTCTGTACACATCCACACATACACACACACAGACATCATTCCGAAAACCACTTTTTCCGTTTCATGGGGACCCAAAACGGATATATCCACTCAAAACTCAAACTCGAAAACAATATTGTGGTGTGAGTAGCCAACGGATTGCGAATGCGAATAATGATCACTAGTCGAAAACAATACTTTCTCCATATACTATGTATAGGGGATGAAAGTATAAACGCTGTTTATACTCGTATATTTTTGTTTATTTCAAGTCTTTATGATATTACAGTATTGCTGTAGGCCTACATACTCACTTACAATGTGTTTTTGTGTGTGGTTTGCAGTAGTTATCTAGTGATTTTTTTATATGTTAAGATTGGAGAAGGAATTTTTTTATAATATTTTATTTACAATCTGACCAACAAAATAGAACAATAAGCAAATACGATACAATTTAAATACAGTACCTAGTTAGTCCTTATCCAACAAAAAACAAGAAAAAACAACAGAAAATCTTAACACACAAACTTTGCATAGGCCTATTTTGTTACAAAGTTTAAAGTCTATAAATTCCTAAAAGCGGTGAATTAAGTAAAAAACCTTTAGAAAGAGAAGGATTTGCAATTGTTTTTATTTTATTATGTTTAGCTGTGGTTGTGTTGGTGGTGTGAACCACGCCCCGCTCCTCTACCCAAGCGAACAAATTGGAAGCGTGTTCCCATGTTCAGAGGCGAGGGGCAGCTCGGGCTCACAACTCTACACATAAATACCCCCGCTGCAGCAAACCTGCCATCTAAGCGAATTTCCATTTGGCTGAATTGATTTTCAATTGATCTATTTAAATAACATATTAGGTTTAACGAGTACCTAGGTTTGCTGCTACAAGGAAACTAATAAAGTGTGTTTTTAGTAAAATATTGATAGCTTACTATAAAATAAATTCGCTAAAACCAGGAATAAACGCGGAGGAAAGGTTCATGAACAACTCACCGTTTGAGAGGATCAGCTATGATAAAAACTAGCTGTTACCCACGGGCTCCACCCCGTTTTACTACATCTATAT